AAGTCCACCTGGCTATCCAGAGTCCTTAATGCTTGCTGAGTCTGAGGTTCAGATCTAAGTATTCTTGCTTCTGAGATCACTGAATCTGGAGCCACATTCAGTCAGGATACCATGACTTTGAAGTCTGAATAGCAATTCGGTCCATTCCCTGAATCCCACCTTTTTGAGTGCCTATGACTCAAAGTCATATTTCCTTAAAACTATCTTAGTCTTCAGTCAACGCTGCTGCTATCGATGTTGTCTTTTCTGTAGAATCTGCTGGTTTCCTTCCACTGGAGTCATGCCCCAAATTGTGGCGTCCTTCTAGTCTGTGACTTTAGGGCACTAAGCTGAGGCTTGTCTTTTGATGAGGGTCATCGCAGCACTGGGTTGTTCTATATGCATTACTTTATTTTTTTTTTCCGTTTTTACCCTCATGTTTCTTTGTCCACAAACATCCACTCCTGGTGAATATAAGTGATAGAAAGCAGGGTCCCAGTGGACCTCATATGTCAGCATTTTCCTTATTGGAAGAGAAAGCTTCATCGAGTTAGGGCTTTCATTTCTTATTCTATTCAATTTATATGCATTTTTTCATTAATTAATGTGTAAATGAGTTCCATGAGGTCCCGACTATGATTATTTATACTCCCATTTTAGATTTGCAGTAACAAAGGCTTAGAATATTTAAATGACTTGCCAAAATCTTGTTATTTGAAAGTAATAGAAAATCCTAATCCACTCAAAGCATAAAATAGAATACAAAAGGGGATTTGTGGTCTTAAATCATCAAAATGCTTAGAGATTGAGTTTTGGGGAGTTTAATCAAGATTCTTCATTTTTTTCCTGTGATTCTAAAGTTCGTGGCCTTTATTCTGTGACAGTCCCCAGTCAAGTTTCTCCCAAAGTGTTGAAATCGCTATAGCAATTCTACACATCTGCATATCACTGTCTAGAGAAAAAGAAAGAGAGAATTTCCTAGAAGGTCCCAGCACACATCTCCTCTGTTTTTATTAGCTGGAAATGTGTTACATTTGTACTTCTTAAACAAGCATTATTAGCCAGAAAAGAAGGGCGT